GGCCCTCAGTCCCTCATCCAGACTCACCAGGCACCCCAGCAGGACCCCCCCACCCTGAAGGGCTGTGGCCATCCTGCAAACTGCCATCAGCTACTCACCCAGGCTGGCCAGGAAGCCCAGTTGGGATCCCCTACCCTGAATGGGCTGTGGCCAGCCGGCAAACTGCCATCTACCACTCACCCAGACTAGCGAGGCAGCCCAGCAGGACCTCCCCCACCTGAATGGAGTGTGGCCAGCCTAAAAATGCCCTCAGCCTCTCACCCATGCTGGCCAGGTACTCCTATATAATAAAAGGGTAATATGCAAATTAACCCATCAGCACAACGACTGGGAATGACTGGTCACTATGACACACACTGAACACCAGAGGAAGATGGTCAATACAGGAGCTGCCCCCTGGTGGTAAGTGTGCTCCCACAGAGGGAGCTCTGCTCACCCACAAGCCAGGTTGACAACTGCCAGTACAGCGGTTATGGTGGGAGCCTCTCCCGACTCCTCAGAAGCACTAAGGATGTCCGACAGCAGCTTAGGCCTGCTCCCCGCAGGCAAGTGGACATCCCCTGAAGGCTCCCAGGCAGCTAGAGGAATGTCTGACTGCCAGCTTAGGACCAATTCCCCAGGGAGCGGACCTAAGTCAGCAGGTGGTCATCCCCCGAGGCATTCCAGACTGCGAGAGGGCACAGGTCGGGCTGAGAAAACCCCCGCCCCAAGTGCACAAATTTTTGTGCACTGTGCCTCTAGTCTATATATATAAAAGCTTAAGTGACCATTACTACTGGATAACTGGATGATTGGACCACTGGCTGGTAAAGATGATGCACACTGACCACCAGGGGGGAGACTGACCTGGTGGTCAGTTCACTCACACAGCCAAACTTTTGTGGGAGCACAGTACCTCCCTGCTTCTAGTCCCAATTGGGACTGGGTGAGACGGCTCCAATTGGCCAGGAGGGACCCCACCCATGCAGGAATTTATGCACTGGACATCTATCTAGTCTAATATAATTGTACAGATATGTGATACCTACCTTTGTGATATGTTTTAAGAATCATGTTGTTAGGCAAGATTGTTGTAGAGCAAACATCATAAAGTGCACTTACACACACCTAGATAGTACAGTGTAATCTGGGTTTCGGCAGTGTGATATATCCTATTTTTCCAAAGCTAAAACTCTGTACAGAATTTAACTGTAAAAAAAAAGTGTGGGATTAAGTCCAGCACAAGAGAAAATGATTCAATCAAGAAACACAACTCAAAATGTATGCGGCTGCTGCCATTGTAATATTTCATACTGTTTTCAGCACATTGTTTTTTCATAAATAGAAAAGTTATCCATTCTAAAATAATGATAAAAGTTATACTATAATAACTAAATTTACTATCATTATCAAATACTATGTACTGTGCTTAATTGTATATGCTACACTTTTTTCTATGACTGGCAGTGCAGTAAGTTTGTTTATACCAGTGTCAACACATAATTAATGCCTTACACTATAGTGCTATGGTGTCTACAATCACCAGACAATAGGAAATTTTCAGCTCCATTATGATCATGTGGGACCACCAAGATAGATGCACTCTGTTGTTGACCAAAATGTCATTAAGCAGGTAGTGATGGTAATTGTACTTTTATTCTCATCATGGAAAATTCAAGGACTCCAGAAATGTTACCTCTATTTTTCTTCCCCAACATCTTTGGTATAATTTATTTTAATTTTGTGTATGTTTGAAATTCTGCAGACATTATTACTATTGTTTTATACAGTCAATATTTATTTGAATTTATATTTAAATATTTTCTTGCTCTTATTCTTTCCCTACAACTCTTATGTTCCTTTTGCATAAATAACATTCTCTAGAATTTTTTTAAGTCTCTCTCAGTTTTTGTTTGAGTGAATAAATCTTAGGGAATATTTTTCCTCGGTATAGAATAAGTCTGGATTGGCTGGAGTTTTGGTCGATGTTGTTACAGCATGTTAAATCAGTCTGTAATCTCTGGTTCACATAATTTCTGTTCATTTATATATTGTCCTTCTAACTATTGCTCCTCTAGAGGGTACTTTGTCTTTTTATATCTTTCATGATCATCTCTTTGGTTTTCTGTAGTTTCAGTGGAATGTGAGTAGAGATGGATTTCTTTGCAGTATTCTGCATAGTGGTTGAGTAGGATTTCTAAAATCTGTGAATTGATGTTTTAACAAATAAGTTTTAGAATACACATTTTGAATGTTAGATCTTTATATACTATTCTGCGCCATATTGTCTCTTGACTCTTTTCCTGTTAAACATCTTCTTACTGACTATTTTTTTTAAAATATATTTTATTGATTTTTTACAGAGAGGAAGAGAGAGGGATAGAGAGTTAGAAACACCGATGAGAGAGAAACATCGATCAGCTGCCTCCTGCACGCCCCCCACTGGGGATGTGCCCGCAACCAAGGTACATGCCCTTGACCGGAATCGAACCCGGGACCCTTCACTCCGCAGGCCGACGCTCTATCCACTGAGCCAAACCGGTTAGGGCCTTACTGACTATTTTAATTATTCTTATCCTTCCTTTTATATTTTCCATTCTTTTGTCTTTCGAGGCTTTATTCATTATAGTTGTCTTTTCTAGAAGAAATTATGGGTAATTTTTTCTGGTCTGACGATTCACTTTTTTCTATTAAAATTTTTGATAAATTTATCTATTTAGTTTTTCCTGTATTATATTTTTGAGTTATATGGTTCAATTTTATTTCTGATCTTTTTTAAAGAAATATTTTTAAAATAATTTCAGAGAGAGTGGGAGAGGGAGAGAGAAATAGAAACATCAATGATGAGAGAGAATCATTGATATGCTGCCTTCTGCACACCCTCAACAAGGGGTCGAGCCCATAACCCAGTCATGGGCCCTGACTGGGAATTGAAGCGTGACCTCCTGGTTCATAGGTCAGTGCTCAACCACTGAGCCATACCTGGCTGGGCTCTATTTCATTTTTACTCAAAAATGCAGTATCTTTTAAATTTTTAGTTATCTGCTGAGATGGTTAACCTTTGTTTTTTATCAACCTGTTAAAATGTGTTGTTTTATAATTTGTGTGTGTTAATTGCAATATTTAGAGCCCCTGTACTTGTTTGCATTATCTGTTTTTTCGTGCTGATTTTTTTTCATGTTGTCATAGCTACTCACCCATCCCATTTATCTTTGATTATGTGCGAAACAGGGTACTTAGAAAAGCTGACTATGAAAATAACTAGTGGCCCGGTGCACAGATTCCTGCACATTGAAAGGGAAATAATTAGAAGAAATACTTTAATATTGCTATTTGTGCTTTCACCCTCAGCACTTGGGAGCTGGGCAGCGCTCCTTTGTTCCCCACCTCAACTGGTCACACCAGCCTTGGACTGGTGCTGCCCACTCAATGCTCTACCATCCCACCATGGTCCTGCTCTTTCTCGAGTTGGAGCCCATTGGGGCAGCAGCCCCTCCACTGCTGCCTGCTGCCAGCACCACATGGCCAATGCCCACCATATTCCATGCCGCCCCTGGTGGTAAGCACACGTTATAGTGAGTGGTCAAACTCCTGGTCTCCCTGTTGAACTCCCAGTCCTGAACTACCTCTAGAGGGGACAATTTGCATATTTGACTTCTATTATGTAGGATTTGAGGTTTATGGGTGATCTTCCCCTGGGATGATTTTCGTTTGCTTCTTCCATATGCCTCTGGATAGTAGCTAACCAGAATAGATGTAATCCAATCCCAGTTACTGGAATTGGGGGAACTGTCCAAGGACTTACATCAGGGCTGCATTCTGAGCTGCTGCAGTCAAACCCTAGAGTGTAGTTCTAATGTTGCCATGTGAAAGCACAGGGTCACAATGGGGCCCCCATAATTGACAGCCCAAAATTCTGCCTGCCTGACCTTGAACATCATCAAACCCCTGCTTCATGCCCTATTACCTCAGTTGGATTGGGAAATGACCCCGGGATAAAGGTGGCCCCAGTTTCCATAGTCACCAATTTACCCAGGATTGCTGAGTACTTCATAATCATGGCAGCTCCCTTGCCTTTGGGCTCAGGGTTGCTTGGTTTGGTGTTTTGGTTGTGTTAAAAGGTCTGAGTTACCTAGTTCACATTGCAGTAAAGAATTAGATGTTCTCCAAGTAAAATATTTATTGAATTCTAGTTTCTGCTCTGAAATTTACTACTTTTTTCAACCTTCAATAATTTATTTGTAGTCCATGAGCCTGCACCCTTATATATAAAAAGGATTTGAGCAGAGTAGCATGGGGCCCTGCAGTTTGGTTTCTACCTGATTAGCACAATTTACTCTAAATCACTGTGTAGATTTTAGCATAAGATCCCTAAGAGAACTATTAAATAATGCAATGACTTGCTTTTTTTGTTTTTCCTATACATAAGAGAACCTTCAAAATTGAAGCTGCCAGTAAACATATTAAAGGAAAAAAGGAAGGAAAGCTTGCCAACAGATTTGCTAAAATCTTCTTTTTCTTTCATGGAGCCACTGACTATCATCATGGATGTCAGTATTGTCAGTCCAAGAACCCCATTAGTCTTCTCTTTTCTGAGATCAGATAGAAACAACTAGAGGACTGAGATCAGTCTGGCTAGCAGAATCTTAGGAAACGTTATTAGCCAGCCCACCAGCTTTGTGGGAGCAAGAAAATGCAGCATTTCAAGCCCCATTCCAAGGAGTGCATTTGACTAAGGTTTATATTGATCACAGAGCCCCTCCTCCATCCAGCATTGCATAAAGCCATCCCATTGCTATCGGTATCTGGACTAGATGATGGAAATCAAGAACCCTTATCAGAAAACACACAAGAAGCTGGTAACAGTGTGATCTTTGCACCCCCACCTTGCTTAACAGTCTCTCGTACTTCACTTTTCTTTTGTAGTTTCATGGCATCTTTTAAGGTAAGACACTTACTTCTTCACTCCTTGTGATCTCAAACAAACTACAAACCAGGTAGATAAAGGATAATAAGCTCTTTAATTGTTTGAAGTCAGAGGAACTATAATAGAATACTAATCCTGTGAAACAAAGGGTCAGAAACATGGGCCAAGTCAAATTTATCTTCATAATCCAACCCTTAATTGGGCTGCTCTCCTATATTTCACTTGAATGTCTGTTTTTAAGCCTCCCTTCAACAATGACTATCTCTCTATCATAGCTCCCAGAATTCTATCTGTGAAACAAATTACAGTACTGTAATTTTTCTCATGGCTTTCAATATAGTAGAGCAGTTTCTTCGTTTACTACACTGTCAAGAGTCTACATATCTGCTTGGTGCATTCAAAAGCAATCACTCAATTTTTCAATATAAAGAAAGGAAAACAGATACCTATGCCAAAGTTAATGGGTGTAAGCAGCCAACAGAGCTGACATTAGAAAGGAAGTTACAGATTTTTTGGGGGGTGGTAGATTTATTGTAGAAGATATATAATTTTCATATATTTTTGAAAGGGCCAGTGACAGCTCTGAGCTCGACCTTGGGTTTCTAAGGGGAAGAAAGTCTTCCTAAGAACAGGATGTTAGTTGAGGGATTGTGTCGAATGAAAAAAATGAATGGATGGTCGGCCACAAAATTTTCAGTTTTTGGCATAAGCGCACAAGTCATTCTAATTTCTTCTTCGGTAGCCGCCGCTGCCTCTGTGCCCTCCTCATTAACTTCCACAAACGACTTGTGGATAATTTTTGATATAAAAAGATCTCTGGCTCTTGACATGCCAGACAGATCAGCCATGCTATCAAAGAGATCCTCTATACCCAGGCTTTTCAGGTGAGAGTTGAGGTTGTAGCTCTCTTCCACCTTGAACCTGGGCAGGTGGACGTTGACTTGAATGGAACGCAGATTCTCAGGTTTGGTCCACTCATGCAGTTTTTCCAGGGTCAATTGTTCTTCGATCTGAAATGAGAAAGGGCAAAAGAAGAAGTGAGAACTCTTCCACGTAAGCAAGGCAATACACATTATTTACATGAATGGATTCATGTTATCAGTTCCTAATCAGTTTCCTTCATGTTTTGTGCCAAAATAGATTCCATTTGGAGGATTTCATTTCTTTCCAGCAATTGGTGAGAATAGAACAGAGCTGTGGTCCAAGCCATCTAGTGCCCAAGTAACAGGGACTTTGGATATCAGAGGCTTCAACTACCCATCCATCCACCCAACCATACACCCACCCAGGCTTTCTTAAACCCCTACCAACCTGGATTACTGTGATAGGCCATAATGGCTGTTAAAGCTTTAACTGGTTGATTGATGCAAGGTAAAATCAAAAGTTTTCTTCTATTTCTTCTATTCTGAACCCTACTGATCACTGTGGTAATTTGTGAACTCACTGTGCTGAAGTAATCTCTAATAGATTTAGCTTGTGGGTAAAAAAAGAAAAGAGACAAGTTCCTCATCTAAAATTGGGAGAGGGTTAATAATAGTATCTACCTTATAGCATTGTTGTGAGCATTAAATGACTTAATGTATGCAAAGCACTTGGCACACAGTACTAGTAAGAGCCACAAGATTGTCAGCTATTATCATTACCATATTACTACTATTATTGGACTAGAATGGACCCATCATTCCCCTTGTTCTACTGATGCAAATTATCTCTTTTATGAGGCAAGAGAATTTCTCTTTATAATCAGAGAAGAGACAAATATGAAAATACAATTAAAAGAAGGAACATACTGATTTTATTACATACTTTATACATGTCAATAATTAATATTGGACCTCTTCCTGATAACAAGTTTGGTTAGGGAGAGGGTAGAGATAAACCCCACAGCAGGCTGGAGACACTAAAGAAAACAATAATCTTCACAGTTTTGCCTAGTCCTAGCCTGAAAAGAAATGTCTTTGCCTTTAACCAAAGTTCCTTTGAGTAAATAGGCTTAACTTTCAAGCTAGTGTGTCATATGCGTCTTTTCTACCACGTAGCTGTGAGAAATTTAATTCACAATCTATATGAATTGTGATGAGAAGGAGCAGTGTAATAATGGGATCTCATTGTACAAGGTGAAGCTACCCAGTATAAATGTTTTGAGATTTTTAATTTTAATAAATTTGTTTCAATAAAACAATTCTAATTTTACTGCACTTTCTTCTAAAGTTTATTTAAGAAAATTCCTGTGAGCTGCCACTGACATGTTAAATTTAATATAGACTCTTATGTACCCACCACAACTATTCACTGACAGTCCCTGCAAAGTTAATCTTAGGGCTTCAGAGTAGCAAACATTGATGACCTACTACCACACAACTTACACACTCTCTGAACTGATCTGTTAGAAGGAAACATGAAGCATGAGGGTGGGAGCCGTTACCTTCTTCAGGCCCATGGCCTCATCCTCGATGTCATCTGGCAGCAGGATGACCATGCTGAGGTCTCTGCCTTTGTAAGGCAGCTCCAGCACCCGGCACTTAAGGTCCTCGATGTAGCCAAATGGAAATGTGCTTTTCTGATACATCATTTTCACTGTTTTTGTGTCTTTCTGAACAGTTGAAAAAACCAAGTCACTCACATTATTATCTGCATTCTCGTAGAGCAAAGGAAATTTTATAATTACTTCACCTTACCTTATTCAATCTGAACAGTGTATTGGTTGTGGCCATTTTACTGAATTTCTCCTGCCAGTTTCCTTGGAAATAGATGGCATTAACTAGCACAAGTTTGGTCATATTATCAACCATGCCTGCAGCCAACAATTCTGGAATTTTCCCTAAAGAAATAAGGTAAGTTTTTTCTTTAAATTCACATATTTGTATCCTATTCTTGAACTGCATTTAAATGCAACACAAATTCATACTTTTTATTTAATACCCATAAATGTGTTAAGTTAGGGAAGCCCTACCAGTATGGTTTGATTGTAAATAAACCAACTAAAGGGTTTAAAAGCTAAAAACAGGACAATCTTTTCTGCATTGCATGAGAAACAATGAGACTTCTTTTGTGAATGGCTATTCTTTGGCAGGCATAAAAATTTTTTTTCATGAAAATGATCTATACTAATAAAAGGGTAATAAGCTAATTAGACCGAATATCTTCCAGATGACCTTGTGGATGTTCTTTGCTACAAAACCATGGTGGCCGGGCTGAGGCAGAGGCAGTTAGTTGTGATCAGGCAAGCAGAGGAGAGCAGTTAGGCGATCAGGAAAAAAGGGGAGAGCAGTTAGTGGGCTCAGGATGGCAGGGGAGAGAATTTAGGGGGATTTTGCCAGCAGGGAAGAAGAGTTAGGAGGATCAGGCCAGCAGGGCAGAGCAGTTAATGGGATCAGGCCAGCAGGGGAGAGCAGTTAGGGAGATTAGGCAGCAGGGAACAGTAGTTAGGGTGATCAGGCCAGCAGGCAGGTCAGCAGTTAGGAGCCAGTAGTCCCAGATTTGGAGAAGGATATCCGAATGATGTAGTCCCAGATTTCAAGAGGATATCCGAATGATGCGAGGGGTCCTGGATTGAAGATGGTACAGGCCAGGCTGAGGGACCCTACTGGATTGAAGATGGTACAGGCCAGGCTGAGGGACCCTACCCCATGCACCTATTTCATACACTGGGCTTCTAGTTGTTAAATAAGTCACTTCTTCAAAGCCTCCAAGTGGAAGCTGCTCTCATAGAAAATATTTT